AGTTATAATGGTGGATTCAAGGTTCTGATAGGTTATTGTAAGTTAATATTTGTTTTAAATTAGTTAAATCTTCAATTTATGGCTAAAATTCCATTTGCGTACCTCTGTAGCCCAAATATTTGCTTCTGTGAGTGTATTTTTGTCATGAAATGTTGTTACTTAATTTATTACATTGTTTAGGCAACTTCTCTTGTTTCTCCAGAGTGTTCTTTAGGAAATATTCAAGAAAAACCAGTTTGCCATGGTACGACTTTTGCGTACCTCTCAGCCCTTGTAAAAAATCCCAGCAAGATCTTATAAGGTTTTTCATGATTTCACATGATTAGACAAGAAAACATAAAATAGTAATCTTGTAAAATCTTAACACAGAAATTTTTACAAATTCTTATTTAAGATTTGATAAGATTTGAACAGTTTTGTCAGATCTTGTGATATCTATCATAACTATAATTCTTGTAAGAATTTTAAAGGTCTTATGAATAAAGAATATGTCAGAAAATGTAAGATCACACCTCACTTAAATCTTGTAATATCACACCTTGTAAGAACTAAGATGGTCTTGTTAAATTGAAATCTAATAAGATCTTACAAAATCTAATAAGATCTTACAAAATCTAATAAGTTTATGATCTTGAAGAATCATCTATGATCACACGACACTTAAGATCACTCATTAAGTCATAAAAGATCTTGAAAGATCTTACAAATTGCATGACGTCACAGGAAGTGGTAGACAAACCATGATAGCCTTTACAATAGTGGCAGTATATAAAGAAAGTAAAATTTCAACATACATGTAATTAAGTCAAAAAAGTTAATAAGTTCAAATTAACCTTCACATCATTAAATAATTCATTTATGCAATGTAAGATCTTGCTCAGATCTTACTGTTACATCCATTTTTCATAAGCTGAAACTTCAAGTAAGAACTCAGCTAATATTTTTAAATCTTGATAAAGCAAGATCCCATGATATCTTTCATGTTCTTTGTTTCAAAATCAGGTAAGATCTTGCTGTGATCTTCTAAGAATTTGGTAAGATCTTGAGAAAGATCCTGTAAGATCTTGCTTACATTTTGATAGCAAGATCTAATGCTATCTTATATGATTTTTGTTTCAAAATCAGGTAAAATCTTGTGTAATATTAGCAAGAATCTTGTGAAGAATTTTAAAGAAACTTAACAAGATCTTGCTGGGATTTTTCACAAGGGAGCGGAATAGACTACATTCTATTGCTATAAAACTGCTATAAAGAGACCCTTCATATGTTTTTACATTGTTTAAAGTTGTTTTTGAATTTTCCTTGTTGCTGGTTTTTTACTTATAACAATTTACATTCAGCCATTTTGCTAAGATGCCATTGATTGCTGCAAGTAATTTTAAATGAATATATATAATAACAAAGTCTGATAATTAACTTCCGGTCCGTAACCAATCCCGGTTACGTTAGTCTATTATATCCCTGGCATCAATGAGTCAGATTGGGATTAAAGATAAAGGTAGCTCACCAACTATTGCAAGACAGATATTATTGTTGATAGATTATAAGATCAAATTACTGTACAAAATGATTTGTATTGGTGGGATCTTTGGCAAATTTGTATTTTTGGCAAATTTGCCTGTGGAAAGAAATTTCTTTCCATAGGCAAGTTTGCATGGCACAAAATCACAAACAAAAAATCCGCCAATTAAGTGGCAGATTTTATATTGGCGATTTTGTGCCATGTGCTATTGAGGCTTGAGCATGCTCAGATTGAAACAAAATGGCAGATTTTATATTGGTGATTTCTTCATAGAACTGCCAATCGCCAATATTAATTCTTCGTCAATCATCTTGTACAGATTAAAGAGAAAATGTAAATAATAGTACACATCATGACTTACTGCCTATTGTGTGACCAAGACAACAGTTTAATTATTGTTGATTGATATCAGAGAGAAAGACATATATCAGATTAGGCCACTCCAATTAAATTCATAGTTTCTCCTTACACGTGCAGCATGCAATGATGCGGGTGGACCGGCGGTAAATTAATTTTGATTATAAATTTTGATTAAAATAATAATAAAGTTTTGACAAATTAGCAACTATACCTGATTCCTTGTTCATTCATCAATGTACTAGAGAGCAGTGAAGAGCCCAGTTATTCTTCAAAAAGAGTGAAAAGACATGCACTTCAAAAGATATGAGTTTACGTTATTATTATTTTTAATATTTTAATCAAATAACTAAAATATTGATCACAGCGCGGGCAAACGGGTGGGTAAGGAGAAACTACAAATTTAATTGGAGTGGCCTTAAAAGATAAAATGTAAATTATAGTACACACTATAACTTATAGCTGGTTTACAATATTACGCAAGTTCTGATGTTACATAGATGAATTAAGGAATAGAATCTGGTTCTATTCTAGCGGAAAGCATGCATTAAAAGGTCTAATCGCCCACATTTTTGATTAAAAATTGATGGTACGTTGGCCTAACGTCATTGTAAACTAGCCTTTACTCTCTATTGTGTGACCAAGACAATAGTTTATTAATTATTGT